ATATTTTGCAGCAGTGTTACACGGCCTTTTCAGCACTTCAGAGGAGTGACTTCAAAGACTATTAGCTAGGGGACTGCACGTCTGCATAGGTGTTCCACGAGCGACTTCCAGCAGCCTTGTCATAGCAGAGTCTCGACAACCACCCTTTCCAGTCATGAGAACAATTGAAACATGCCGCCATTTTTTTCGCTTACAGACGCAACACAGGGACCACCCATTGGCACAGGAGATTTTACTAAGAGATAAAAGCAATGCTCATAACGACGTACAGAGTAATGTACATATATTACCCAGAAATGAATTTTGGAGCTTTGAAATGGACTATCCTCCATGGCTGCTTGTAATACCAAGCATTGAATTCTCAGTGGATGGCATTATCAGAAAGAGAGACATGTTCATCCAAGCTGCTCAACAACTAGCGCTTTATCAGATACACATGCGGTATCCAGGGTACATACATATTTACACAGATGGCTCAAGTACTACAACGTCTTCAACATCGGCATTTATCATACCACAGCTCAATATTCAGGAATCGTTTAAATTATGTCGCATGACGTCATCTACTACATCTGAGCTCTTCGCTATTCTGTATGCTCTAAAGTTTATAAACTCGGTAGCAGACGTTAGAAAATATGTAATTTTTAGTGACTCACAGGCCGCATTAAGATCACTCTCCAGTACAAACAGGACAGTAATAAGTGATAGTATGACATACGAAACGCTGAAGGAGCTCACCAAAGCAAAGAAGGCGCAACATGAGATCAAATTCCAGTGGATACCTGGCCACTGCAACATTCCTGGAAACACAGCTGCCGATGGAGCAGCACGACAAGCACATCGTAAAGACGTTACTGTTTCTTTACCAATTTCGAAAAATGAATTGCGCAGTATTATAAAGAATACAACTTTCAGAATGAGCAAAACTGCTTGGTTTGACCAAAGTACAAACAGCTGTGATTTATATCACATCGATTCATGTATTGAATTCAAAATTACGCTGGCATTAGATAGAAGGATGGAAACTCTAATTCACCGATTGAGGCTAGGCACCACATACACAAAACATTTTTTGCACAGAATCGGCAGAGCTGAAACTCCCGAATGCGAATGTGGATTTATAGATGAAGACGTCTGTCACCTTCTCATAGACTGTCCACATCATGACACGCCGATACACCGTCTTAAGTGCGAACTGTTCGCATTGGACCACAGACCATTTAGCATGAAAAAACTTCTGGGCCCGTGGCCAAGTGGAGTTTTACAGTCCCATGCTTTAAAAGCATTAACACGTTTTTTACAAGACAGCGGGATTGCTGACAAGTATTAACAAAGAACAAACCTTCATTTGTAACACATGTACTTATTATTTACAGTATCATGTGACACCCATCACGTGTATGTTGTGAAATGAATGACGTGTCAACTATTATGTACATACAAGTGAATGCACCTTTATAAGGACCAAACGTGTGCTTTGCTGTTTTGTGCTGGTGGACCGAATAATAACGAGGGAAATTTCCAGAGACTTCTTACATTGACTTTCGAACATTTACTTACCATTGTGATATGTGCGTATAAGTGTGTCTTTGCATATCTGTGCCCGAGTTTTCTATTTTCCATGCACTGCTTTGTATATTTTGCTTCAAGATACGTGTTCAAGTTTCAATCAACGGCTAAGGAGTAGCCGGCGCCATAATGGTGCGCCAACATCTCCTTATATATCATATCAATAAAAAAAAAACTAGAGGGTACTCTGGCGCTGTGATCGTTCACCGACCATGGGAATGATGGGTAGCACACACATTTGCCTAGTCTTCGTATTGCTGGTGGCGAGTAGTACTAGCGGCTTCGTTCATTGCCAGTTACGGTTTTGTTTTGAAAAAAATAACGATTCCTTTTGGACTTTGTGACACGATTCAAAATGATAAGCCTAAAAAATAAGGTTGTGAAGCGCAAACGCTGAACAATTGCTAATTGATTTTTCGTGAAAAAACAGCCCTATTAGCCACACGAACACGCATGAAGCCAGAAGCCGGTCAGAAGTACGAAAATTAGACAAATGTGTGTACTACCCATTATTCCCATGCTCGCTGAAGCGCCGTGCGTTGCTGTTCCCATAGACACTAGCGCCAGAGTTCCCTCTAGTGTATATTAGGAAGCTCTGTGGGTTTAACTACATATAAATTGTGTTCGATGCAATATCAACCAATAATTCGTTCTGTAGCTCTACTACAGTATAAGTACGAAGAAAAATACTTTTCACAATTAGCGTGGCCGTTCATAATAATTATAGTTGCGGACGTCAGTGATTGCCATAATTATACCCAAATAATTTGTGCAAGAACAACGGGCAAGGTAGAGACGACAGACTGGACGGAGCACATGTGCTCTCGGTCCTGTCTCGTCTCTACCTTATCCGTTGTTTTTTGCGCTCATTCGTTATGTCTGCAGGTGAGACGCACCAACTAGCCCAACTCAGATATCTCATTCCGCTATAATTATGTAGCAGAGAAATATTTACAAATTGAACGAAATATAACTATGGACTAAATTGTCTTAGGCAAAACGATAACACAGTAATGAAATATGTGTTTTACCGGCAAAATGTGTACACTGTTTAGCTAGGTGGATTACCTAATATAACAACTTGAGCTGGTTGGAAGTGTACTTTAATGATACAGATAAAAGACGAAGAAAGTGAATTACGCGAGTGGTGGTTTGCATAACCATGCTGGTAGAAAACAAAGGAAAAATGTCGATAAAGGAGAAGGAAAGGAGCAACGAGTCAAGCGTACTTGCTTGTGTCATTGTGCGCACTATATATATAAGTGTTCGAAAGAGCCAAAATCAATCAAGGTTCCACAAGCTTGAATCCTTCTTGAATCCTATATTTAATGAAGAAATACTGAGTACGAACACCTTATGGGGGACAAACCTAAGCGTCACTTCCGAACGCTGTAAAACTGCGTTTTTATTTTTTTTTTCGCAGTCTTTGCAGGGTTTCAAGGTTCTGCGAATATATTTCTGTTTTAAAGAAAACATTATACCGTGGTTACTGATGCGCTTGCGAGAAACTGTTTCCGTGAAGAGGCTACACCGAACTTCAACAAATACTAACATGCTGCGCTTCCGCATAGTCAGAAAACATCTTGAAAATTTAAACGTGCGATATGTTTCTTCAAAAAAGATTTCTTTATAAAGAAGTATCACTTTCAAGCTTTCGGTAATGTCGGCTTTCAGAAAGTTAAATTCAAGGTCATTAAACTTAACGTAAACTCGAGAAATAATTTCAAGAGGACGGAACGCCGGGAGAGTTGGTATTCCATAACCGCGCGAGAAAAAGAAAAGAACGCAGAAGGCAGATATTTTTACAAGCATTACAAACTTTAAGGCAAATAGTCATAAATGAACTAAACAATCATATCTTTCTTTTGTTTCACAAAATACCAGATGGTCGACACAACGTCACGCAGGTATGAGATAAAAATGATTTTTACAAAAGCTTCTTTGAATGACTGAATGCGGAACTTTATTTGAAGTCCTCGGATGTGCACGACTCAAAACGCAGTGGGCCGCTCCCGGGCTGGGACAGTCAGGCCAAGCCCTACCACCGCATGCTTTTTTTTTCGGCAAGCAATCTACGTTCATTGAGCTGGCCCTGGAATCTAATGCACTTTTAAAAGATATGTATTACACCACTACACTACCGTAACCTTGAAAAGTTAAGAGTTGTTCGTGTCCGCCAACTGTATTTCAGCGCTATGAAAACCACAAAACACCTTTTTTATATAGGTAAATTAACATGGGAATTGAAATGACACATGACTTCGATATCTGACACGACCAACCCGCCCAACTCGCCGCACTCATTGAAATGACACTTGATAACGGGTGAACAGAAGCGCCTACTAAAGGGTAAAATTAGAAAGTTAGAATGCCATGTGGTAAGAAAAGTAACTAAATAAAAACTGTATTGTTATAAACATCCTTGTTAATTAAACGTTCGATGTTTCTATTACTGGTATAAGCACCTGAAAATCGAGTTATGAACTGGATCGTCTTGTCAGCCAGCAGTACGAATGTATTGATACATTAGTTGCTCCTGTATTGATTACTGCATTATTTGACACGTTCTGGATTAATTTTACTCAAGGTCCGATTACCGGGCGGTAAAGCAAGCAGCAGAATACAGATAAACTTTACAAAAAAGTTCTAAAAGCCAGGGCAAATCAAAATGACCAAGCAGGCTGTCGTCCATGTACTACCGAAAGCGCTGTTCGAAACTAAGTAGCAAGCGTAGTTGTAGTTATGACTACCAGTTGGGCGTGTTGGTAAATGTTCATGATAAAACAAGTGATAAAAATTACACACACTTAGCGCTCGTCGGTGACCTCTCTGAGTGTGTGGAATGTTTAGCGCTTGTTTTATCATGAAGCGTAGTTATGATTTGTCTTTGGTGGCCGAAGGGAAGTCACCAGTTATTACTTTAAGACCGCGCTGATTTATTTCGCTCAATGCCCTCACTTATGCTTTATGTCTCCGTAACAAATTCCATGAGATGCATTATTCTTGCGCTTAATCAGGAACGGTGCTCTTTGATGTGATTGAGTCGCAATGCGTGCGAACCGTTTGGGAAACAAACGATGCGCCTGCAGGGCAAACTCGCTGCTCATGTATTATATATATCTGAATTTCATGCACCATCCCCGTAAGGTGAAAGCAGCCGTCAAAATATTAGGGGGGTGCCGGAAGTGCTTGCCGGCTGGGTTGTGTGTGAGAAAGGTCAGTTTTCCAGCACCAAGGCACCACGGAGAAAGTGCCCCTCCGACCCAGATGGCTCTCTCCAGCCTATGACACACTCTCCGGGCTCCCGACGCCCCGCATGGCTGAACTCTACATTATATAGCATTTTGGTAAACAATTTCCGGATTATAAAAGAAGTTTTCTGTGTTCTTTTTTTTATTTTGTCTTTAAGTTGGCAAAGTGCAAGAACCCACCTTGTTTTTATTGCGTACGATGTTGGCGTCGCGCACGGTCTCCATGTTACCGGGCGCCTTGGACTGACGGAGCTTCTTCCAGATCCTTCCATACGTGTAGCAGATGACGCCCAGGGGTAGGAAGTACTGAACGCAGACCAGCGCGTGGTTATAGGCCTTCCATGTGAGTGGCCGCATACCTGCGTTCACGCAAAAAGGCCGCTCGCGCAGGCCGCTGAGCTTGTCGACGACGAGAACGACGCGCAGGGCGAGTGCGTTGGGGCTCGCCACGACCAGCGACGAGAGCCAGATGATGAGCACGAGCAGCTTGGCCGTAGCCTTGGAGCAGAAGCGCGCCTTGAGCGGCGACGTGATGGCCCGGTAACGCTCGACCGCGATGGCCGTGAGGGTGAACACGGACACGTTCACCGAGACCACCTGGACGTAGGGGCAGAAGGCGCACATGAAGTACGGAAGCGCCCAGCGCTGCAACAGTGCGGCCTGAAACTGGAACGGGATCGAGAAGACGCCGATGATGACGTCGGCAACGGCCAGATTGGCGATGAACAGGTTAGTGATGGTTTGCATGCGCCGCGACGACGCCACGATCCACAAGACGAGCACGTTTCCCAGTATGGCGACGAAAGAGACCAGTCCGTAGCAGAATGACAGCAGCACGACGATGTCCACTGGAACCTCGTACAGGCTACTGCTACTGCTTGCGCTGCTGCTGGCTCTGCTGAGAGCGTCTGAGTCGTTGGCGGCAAGTGCGTCCGCGTCGCCGCTCACGTTAGCTGCGACGATGATGCTCACTTGTAGCAGGCTCGTGTTGTCGGCGCCATCTGTCACGCTGTCATTAAGACTCGACAGCTCGTAATACTGGAAGACTTCCATTTCGGAAACGTCCAGCAGGGTATTTTTGTTTTTGTGTTTACTGTCCACCTAGTGTCATCACTCGCTGCGGCGATGCGAAGTGCGAAACGCGCGCGCTACGCATTGCTCCGTGGGCTCTCCTCCCGTACGGGACGTTGGCTCGCGCGTCGGGCCACTGCCGCCGGCGCATTGGGGAGAATCTGCGATGACTGTTCCATAAGCGCGCCCGCGTTTGTCGAGAGTCTGGCCGCGAGAGGGAGAAATCGGGAGAGCCCTCTACCACGTGACTCGCGCCTCCACCATCCCGCGCTTCTTCAGGCTTTCAAACCAGGTGGAGAAAAAGAGAGAGGCACGCGCGGGAGTTCCCGCCCGCGACTGTGCCGCCACCACCGCTTCACTGGTGTGGTGAGCGTGGAAGGGAGCGCTTCCGTCTTCCCCAACTAACACCTGTGGGTGATCCATGTTTCAGCTTATCGTACCCACTCTGCAGGCTCATCAATATTAGCAGTAATACGTCGCTAATGAGCTTTGTCGGCCATAATTCCTGGAGGACAAGGAATGGAGAACACGATTTAGCCACGCCAAATTCGCAATCAATATTGGTTCGTATGTGTATGTCAGATAGCAAAGAGAAAATGAGAAAGAGCGAGAAAGAGCTAGGTACTTTTTGTCCACCTTGTATACGTTTGAGAGGAAGAAAACACCCTCCTCCCTATCCACCCACCCACCCACCTACATACATACATACATACATACATACATACATACATACATACATACATACATACATACATACATACATACATACATACATACATACATATATACATACATACATACATACATACATACATACATACATACATACATACACACATACATACATACATACACACATACATACTTTCAGAGTAAAATGAAAGCCGAAAAGTGGCAAGCTTTCGCGAAGTGTAGAGTGGGCCGTCCAGTCATCATCGTTGACAGGTGCGTGCATCCTGTTCGGCAGCGGCACATACGTGTCTTTCCGTGGTGATAAGTGCAAGGCACGCACAATACCATTGCGAAGGCTTGCCGCTGTACGGGTTTCGTTTGGCGCTTATAGTACGTACTTTTGGCGTCAAATGAAGGTTCTGCTGGTCAAGATTCGAATATGCTATAGGACTACAAAAAGCCATAGTTGTCAGATAGATCTTCGAAAGAGCAAGAAAAGGGCATTGATATAGCTAAAAGAGTATATATTTTCAGGTGAATGATTTCCATTAATGGGCATAGGACTCATCAGGAGAGTTATTGTGAAGGTTTCTAGTTTCGGCAGGATAGGTTGGACGGATTTAAGAGTTCTTGCTGACAACTTTTAAAGGCTGGTTTATATGCTCCCTGAGCCAGATTTACACTTTTTATATTTTATTTTGAGTTCTCTGTACTACTTTGGGCTTTTTAGATTTCGTTCGACAAGATGCGGCAGTGTTGACTTACTTTTTGTAGCCGTGGACGATTACGAAATGTTTTCACGACATATGCACCTACGTATAATGCTAGCCCTGATGACTGGCGGTGGTTTGCAGCCTGCTAGAAGGAGGTTACAGCGTATTACCCCTGTCATAGGATAGCTTTACATGCGATTATGCGTGGATTACATGTTCAATCGAAGTTAACGCGTACGCGATTCGCCGTTGCCACACGAGCTGAGTTATCTCAGTTCAGCAAGCGACGTTTTCTCAGTTCACATGATCTTGTGGTGATCATGTGAGCAGCGTTCGCACAGAAATTTCGTGGTCAATACTAACAAAATAACTTTCAAAATACAGATACGTGTTCAATGATTATACATTAATTGTTTTCTGCCCTTAAAGACCAACTCCGGTGATTTTGTGAGGTCAATGGATCTCCAATAAGTTCGCTGGATACGTTGCTTTGCACATTTCCGTAATTTGAGCCAAATTACAGACTTGAGGGATGCGTTGATTTTTCGCAAGTGAATTTGAAAAATTCCCTCGAAGAGATCACCTCGCCTGCCAGAATTATTGGCAACACTGTCTGTGCGACGTCTTGTTTGGCATGTCAACCGAAGTGGCGAAGCCGGTGGCATCACTACTTCGGCCGCTACAGCGTTCATTGGACTGGCCACAAGGCAATGGCGGCAGTGTTTGGCGCGGGTATAGAACAGGAAAGCTTTCTTCCTTCCTCTGTGTTGTTTGGCCGGCGCTTCACTGGTCTGGTTTTCTCAGTTTTCATACTACGCGCCGGCCGGACCAACATACGGGCTCTGACTCTTACCTAATAGTACGTCATACGCAGACAGGGTGCCCGGTTGGGTTTCGGTTTGGCACCGTTCGCTTTATAAAAAACAATTTTTAAATTTCCTGAACATTTCAGCCACTGGACTTGTGACAAGAGTATCTCGGAACATAGAAACACCATTAACTTGTCTTGGTCAAAAAATCGTCGGAATCGGCCTTTAAGCTTTCAATAACATGTCGACACTGAGGGGCTTAGTTGTTTACAGCGAAAGCTGTTGTAAGATCACAAGGGTGGCGTGTGCGGTAGTCGTCTGCATCCGCCGATGTCCGTAACCACTATTACGCAAACTAAGAATAAACCAAGTAAATAAGACAAACCAAGGACACAATGCAACTCGAACCCAGGTCCTCTGCGTGCGAGCCTAGTGTAATAGCACAGAGCCGCGCCAGTGCATTGAACTTCGTTGCAAACTGATCTTATGCAGGCTTGATGTGGAGAAAGGAAGCCCGGTAAAGTCTCTGATGAATCGTTTTGGAACTGCACAGGAACAGGTACGCCTTACACAATTCAAATTTCGTAACGAGGAGGTCGTCAAATACTTCGACCCATTGCAAAGGCTTCAGGTATAATACTTGATTGTCGTCAGCCATATGTAGTATAAAAAATTGCACAAAATTTCTTGCAAGTCCGTAGAGGGTACGACGCTTCTCCGAAGAATGACTAAGGAGGGAATAGTGAATACCTCCCGACTCAACAAAACATATGATGATAAATGGCGTAGTGGGTACGCTGCAAGTGTGCTTGTAGCAGTTACCAAACGAGTTTGAAAAAAGGCTCTTAAAAGCCGCTGCTCCAGCTTGTGTTGTGACTGTGCTGCGCGTTCTAGACAGACATGGCGGCATTTTGGCCTCACTCTTTCAGCATTGCTGGCCCTAAACAGTACAAAAATCAGAACGACATATTCACGCCGTGTTGGCTCGTTTGTGAGAGCAAGGCGCATGCATGTTAATGTGATTTAAACAAGCACTTGCATGACGTGGTGCTATGAACCTTGTTAATTCGGAAGCCATGTAAAGTTAAAACACGTTACCAAGAATTTTCGGCAGAATATGCCATTTTTCAACAGCCTGCGGAACACCGGGGTAGGCAGTGACTGTGCATAATTCATGGTCTGTCTCAGTGGATCAGATGCTAGGGATCTTGGCTGCTGCACCAAAGGTCCCGGGTGCGATCCTGGTCGTGGCAGTCCCATTTCAATGGAGGCGAAATGGTAGAGGCCCGGTTACTGTGCTATGCCAGTGCTTGTTAAGGAACACCGGGGGATCGAAACTACCGGAGCCCTCTAGTCCCTCATAATCATATCGTGGTTTTGGGACGTAAAACCCAAATATAATAAAATAGCTCGGTTTGGTATAAAAATTGTTAAGGGACTATTTGCGTGTACGTCTTCCATGTAGCTAGCTGCAGCCGTGGTTATCCATGACCGTCATTAGCGTAACCATGGTTAAGGCTGTCCGTCTGACTAGGGAGGAAGGAGGGAGTGGGAGCAGGGGTTCAAGGGTGCACGTCAGAGGGACAAGAGAAGTTTCGAGATGCAACGTGTGCAGCCTACCCATTCAAGATATTTAGGCCCTCATGCTTGTAAAAAACCTTCTGCAAACAGACAAGTTCCCAGGTGTTGTACACGTCACCCCGTTCGTGGCAAGTTGTACGTCTAAGAGTACTGGCAGCTTGAAAACAGCCCTTTACCAGCAAGGAATGAGTTCAGCAAACAGCAAACTGTGTCAAATGCTCTAGGTGAGCACTTCTCCGCTGTACACCACACAATAAGTCCATGTAATTGCCATCGAAATTAATCCACCTATGCGTCCTCATACCCCATCCCGGTGGTCTAGTGGCTAAGGTATTTGGCTGCTGACCCGCAGGTCACGGGATCGAATCCCGGCTTCTGCAGCTGCATTTTCGATGGAGGCGGAAATGCTGTAGGCCTATGTGCTCAGAATTTGGTGCACGTTAAAGAACCCCACGTGGTCTGAATTTGCGGAGCTCTCCACTATGGCGTCTCTCATATTCATATAGTGATTTTGGGATGGTAAACCCTACATATCAATCAATTATGCAAACTCATATCGATCCCTCGATCATCCAAACCACGTATCACAGTTTAAACCACAACGAAATCATCATGCTGCCCATGTATGCTAGATCCATTAGTCATGTCACGCAAAGGCACAAGCAGTGCCAGTTTGTTTATTGCAATTGGGGCCTCCGTAAGACAGCAGTAACGTATATGTTGCTACGTGTATTAACATACACGTTCTCGGTACAAGTTCATATACTATGTATACTTACACTTACAGCAAATGCGGTCAAGCTGGCGTCTGTCTGTCATTCTCTGAACCATGCCTTCTTCCTTCACCAATAACGTCAGGAAGTTAAAGTAAGTGCTTGTAATGAAAGTGCCTTCAGTCGCATTAACAAACCCTCAGCATTTCGTGACGTAAGTGTACGAGTGAAGCACTACCGTTTTCAACAATGCTGCCCCTTATATAAACTGCGGCAAACATTGCTTTTTAGGAGGGCCAAATTATAATCACTATATAGTTTTCAAAGGAGTAGTGAAATACATTTTGTACGGAGAAGCACAAGCACGCAGGTGTGTGAACTATATCTAGTGGGAGCTAGCATATATAGGCTTAAAGTTAGGTGCCCGTGACCAAATTCATACGGTCTTGGCAACTGTACGGAGTACGTCACACTATTTTGTTTATTTTTTCTCGACTACATATATCCATGTTAAACAAGTGTGAGAGCTCTAAATTTCGGACGAAATTTCCAATGAGCATACAAAAGCAGTTTCTGCAGCATACTGAGAAAGAT